GGAGTCTCCCTGCGGTACACAAGACCATGAGTCCAGACCAGCACTTTTATCTTAGGATCCAGTGCTTAGTTTTGTTCTCGCTATCTTGTTCCTATCTCTATCCTACATAACGAGGCAACTACCACTCTGCATGATACTAGCATTTATCCAGTCCCTTCTCTTGTCTCCCTTCCTTATTGTACAGTCTTTACCCCATTCCAGTATTTCCCCCTTAGCCCAGTCAATATGAGGGTTGTGCTTAACAAGCCATGGGAATCCTAATATGATGGGACAAGAAGGGGAAGCAATTATCTCAAATGTGATAGTTTCTTTGTGTAACGCTCCTATAGTAATGCTAATAGGCATAGTTTTGTAGGTAATTAACGTCTCCCATCAATAGCTTTAACGGCCAGGGGTGATGATCTCTCCTTGATAAGCATCGAGTGTCTGTTGACAAAGTGCATGCCGATAAAGTTTCCTGCAGCACCTGAGTCCATCAGGGCTTTGCATGCAAAACATTTCTTGTTGCAAATGACAGTAATATCAAGGAGAAATCTACTTTGGGTAGTGCCAGAGGACATATCTATCAAACATAAGACCTGTCCCCTTAAGGTTCTTAGGTGTGGAAGTTTTCCAGACGTATGGGACAAGCATCTCTCATATGTCCCTTCTTGCCACAGTATAAACAAAGACCCTCCTTTCTCCTAAACTGTTTCTCTGACTCTCACAGTCTCGTAACCCCCAATTGCATCGGTTCCGGCTCAGATTATAAAGGAACACCAGAGACAATAGGCCTGGAGACACGAGGTGCCAGTGACATATTCAAGTGTCTGGTTCTATTTCTAGTATTCTCCCTGGTTCTGATACGGTTGTCGATATGCATCACATAAGTGATGCAGTCATTTAACCTCCTTGGTAGTTCTTTGGCTGCAATCTCGTCAAGGATAGCTTCAGATAATCCCTCTGCAAAGGCAGTGATTAATCCGCTATTAGTCCAGTCAAAATCAGAAGCTAGAGTATGGAATTCAATAGCATAATCTGAGACAGACCGGTTCCCTTGTTTGATACGCATTAGGGCAGTAGCAGCATTGATCTCCCTACCCAATGGTTCAAATGTCAGTAATTATGTAATTACAAGTAATTATGGGCAATAGACTTATTTCTTTCCCATAATGGATTGGCCCATGCTAAGTCTTTACCTTGCAGTTGGTTCATTAGGTATCCAATTTTGGCTCTATCCTTGGGAAAAGACCCAGGAGAGGCTTCAAAATGGTACTCGATCTGATAAAAAAAAAAAAAAAAGACATAAGGAATTGCCAATAGTCAGGGATAACAGAATTCAGGGAAGTCAGAACGAATCCATAGTCAATAACCAAAGAAACACGATCAGGAACACACTCTCGGATAACCAGCAAAGGGAAACCACAACAGGGCCTGAGTATAAGAAATGAGCATGTTTAAATATCCCTCTTATGAATCCGATTGGCCGTACTCTGTTTTTGACCCCAAAACGTGCACGCGCGTCCTCTGCATAATGTCACCCGCATGTCGACATCCCTACCACCGTGGACAGACGTGGGGCTACTTAACAGTGTGGATCCGCAGTGGCCGGCATACACCGGCATGTCGCAAAAGCCAGGCCTTATGGCATAAGACCGCCGAGCAGCACTTCTACTCCTGGAAAGGTGATTATTGTTGTGCATAGCGTAGGGAGAGGATGTATACGTGACACTGAGGTCTGGAGGAGCTGGTCTGAGATTTGTGGGGTGGGGTGGAGGCAGGTATGCTCACGCAGAGAGTGCCTGCCATTTCCGTTAGCTCAAGGGACCTACCAGAAGGAGGCAACAAACCTCTCTGACTGATTGACAGCCAGTGGGGTGTTCCCTAGTTAATTTATAAACGTGCTGATTTCTCATAGAAACTGACACTTTTATAAACTGGGATTAGACTAGGATACTCTTCACCTATAAAGCATTTCAGCAAGCTGAAGTGCTTTTGAGGGGCAGAGTGGTCCTTTAAGTTTTTTCTTCTTTATTTGAATCTTTTTATTATATGTCATCTGAGTCCTGTTGAGAAATTCTATAGTGTATGGTCCACTACACTTTTAGACCTGGATTACCTTAAGAATGCATTTGCACATCACCACATAGGAGTTTGTAAAAGTAGAAATTAGCCCTGGTGAGTGTGATGTTGAGCCTCCAGACTTGAATAGGTTAGTAATCTTTAGGCCTTGTTAGTAGCATTGGACTTACATTTTGAGCCCTAATTTACATATCCACCATCCTATTAGCTGTCCTAATTTAATTATCTACCAGTACTGGGCAATCTGATGAGTGTTTCCGTGCATAACAAGCACATTATGAATATGACTAACTTTTATAGACTAATGACAGTAATGGCAATGTGATCTTTAAGGATTCTACTGGGTTACTCCATCTCAAGTGGTCCAGCAAAGGTTGCTTGATCAATTTAAAATTTTCCTAGTTATTTTGAGTGATTACCGCTATGTGTTGGTATTGCAAAACTACTGCACAACAAATTTTGGTTATACAGATGTTTATAGAAACCTCAATATCACATCTCAGGATAGACTTAGCACCTTGGAGCAAAAACCGACCTCAGGAGCACATTACAAAGTGCCTGTACATATATAAACATTTTACACATTCTTTTTCTTGAGCATCACTGAATATTCCACTTTTATGGTCAATTTATGATGGTAAGGATTTGAGTCTCAGTACTACATTTGTATGACAAAAATTTCTTGTATGACACAAAGATGTGTAATGGCACAAGATGAGCAAAAACCAGCTTGTTTAAAATAAGCAAGACAAATCTAAAAAAACCAAAAACTAGCGACTTTGCAACATTCATATATGGAGGTATTCACTCAAAAATAAAATATATTGAAGCAACAAACTTTATAATTATTAAAAAGTACTGACCATATTCCCAAATTAAAATATGCCAATACTTTCATGTGATGTTGGGGAGACCATACTAACACAGTGATTCTCACCACATTTTCAAAAAAGCTATTGTAAATTCCTCCTGCGCATGCTTGCACTAATGTTTTCAAGGAGATATTGCCTTGTTATATAAACACTGATGCTCTTTTAAGAAAAAAAAGTGTTTCTGCGTTTATTTGTTTAAATCCCTGCTCACACCAGGAAGTTACAAGTATTAATTGGTAAAAACAAAATATAAAAGAAGGGCTGCGCCAAGTAAAAGAATGTTATTTTAAAAAAACCAGTCCAAATAACGGTAAAAGTCCAACTTAAAGTGTTCTCTCTGTCGTCCTTGGGTACAGGAACAAGGTCTTCGAATATTGAATATAAAAGATAAAAGAGAGAACAACCGATAGTGCAATATGTATGGTAGAGGTAGAGTAAAATATAAGTAGCGAACTCACTGAATATGCTTCATTAATGAATGTATTACTTAGAAATAATTGATTACTGTTATTTTGATATGTATATATGCATTTTTATTCTGATTGGCTGGAAAGAAATTTTGGCACCAAATTTTGTATTGAACCATGCCTATATAAACCTTAATTGCCAGGTATTGTATTCCATTTTGAAGAAGTCTGTATGACGAAACGCGTTAATGGAAACATAATTCTGTATAATAAATATTAAAGTTTTGGTTACTTGATAGTTCCCATTATCTTTATTTATACATTTATCCCTGGCAAGATAGATATATATATATATAATACATTTTTATCCCAATTTTAACAACACTCTCACAAGTTCCTGTGCAGCTAAAGAAATCCTAGGTGGGGATTATTCCACCAGCGCTGACACCAAAGAGCAGTTGGCCTGCTCTGTACTTTTTCTGGATACCTCTGAAGAAACGATACTCATCACATATCCAGGGGCGGACTGACCACTCGGGCATATCGGTCATGGACCGAGGGCCCGAGGCAGTCAGGGGCCCGGCCGCACAGCCATGCTCCAGCTGGAGAGATCAGAGATCTCTCCAACTGGAACAGCAAAAAAAAAAAAAAATAATTTCCTTCAATGGGTTGCTGGGGCCCCTGATGCAGCGCGGGGCCCCAGCAACCACCACCCCCCCTCCCTTCCATGAGACCTGGCAGCTTCTCCAGCTCTCTGCCAGGTCTCCTTCTCCTTCTCCCGCGCGGTGCTCTGTGTGATAGGAGAGGCGGGGCCAGGAAGTGACATCACTTCCTGTACTCTCCTCTCACACACAGAGCTCGATGAGGGGAAGGAGCAGCAGCCAGGGAGAGCAGAAGAGGAAGCAGATAGACAGGTAGGCTTTAGTCACCCTCCCCTCCCCCTCCCTGTCACTAATCACCCCCCCTCATTGTCACTAGTCACCCCCCCACTGTCACTAATCACCCCCCACTGTCACTTACTGTCACTAATCACCCTCTCCCACTGTCATAGTACCTCCCTGTCACTAGTACCCCCCCTTCACTGTCACTAATTACCCCCATCCTCACTTGTCACTAATCACCCCCCCTCACTGTCACTAGTCACCCCCCTCACTGTGTCACTAGTCACCCCCCTCACTGTGTCACTAGTCACCCCCCCTCACTGTGTCACTAGTCACCCCCCCTCACTGTTGCTAGTCACCCCCCCTCACTGCTTCACTAGTCACCCCCCACTGTGTCCTAGTCACCTCCCTCACTGTCACTAGTCACCCGTGCTGTGTCACTGGTCACCCCCCCTCACTGTGTCACTAGGCATCCCCCCACTGTGTCACTAGGCATCCCCCCACTGTGTCACTAGGCATCCCCCCCACTGTGTCACTAGGCATCCCCCCCACTGTGTCACTACTAACCCCCTCCCTCACTCTGTCACTAGTCACCCCTTCCCTCCCTCACTCTGTCACTAGTCACCCACTCACTCTAGACAGAGTGAGGGAGAGGGTGACTAGTGACAGAGGGAGGGGGTGACTGGTGACAGAGTGAAGGAGGGGATGACTAGTGACAGAGGGAGGGATGGGGTGACACAGTGACAGAGGGAGGGATGGGGTGACAGAGGGAGGGATGGGGTGACACAGTGACAGAGTGCGGGAGGGGGTGACTAGTGACAGAGTGCGGGAGTGGGTGACTAGTGACAGAGGGAGGGATGAGGTGACTAGTGATCATCACCCCCTCCCTCATTCTGTCACTAGTCACACCCTCCCCTGTCACTAGTCACCCATCCCTCACTCTGTCACTAGTCACCCATTCCCTCCCTCACTCTGTCACTAATCACTACCTCACTCTGTCACTAGTCACCCTCTCCCTCACTCTGTCACTAGTCACCCTCTCCCTCACTCTGTCACTAGAGTGAGGGAATGACTGGTGACAGAGTGAGGGAAGGGGTGACTAGTGGCAGAGTGAGGGAAGGAAGGGGTGACTGGTGACAAAGGGAGGGGATGACTGGTGACCGAGTGAGGGAGGGGGTGACTAGTAACAGAGTAAGGGACGGAGGGGGTGACTAGTGACAGAAGGAGGGAGGGAGTAGTGACAAAGGGAGGTGGTGACTAGTGACAGTCACCACCTCCTTCACTCTGCCACTAATCACCCCTTCCCTCACTCTGTCACTAGTCACCCCCCTCACTCTAGTGACAGAGTGAGGGAGGGGGTGACTAGTGACAGAGTTAGGGAGGGAAGGGGTGACTAGTGACAGAGGGAGGGGTGACTAGGGACAGAGTGACAGTCACCACCTCCCTCTCTCTGTCACTAGTCACCACCTCCCTCACTCTGTCACCAGTCATCCCCTCTAGTGACAGAGTGAGGGAGGGGGTGACTAGTGACAGAGTGAGGGAGGGTGTGACTAGTGACAGAGAGAGGGAGGGTGTGACTAGTGACAGAGAGAGGGAGGGTGTGACTAGTGACAGAGATAGGGTGGGGGTGACTAGTGACAGAGAGAGGGAGGGGGTGACTAGTGACAGAGTGAGGGAGGGAAGGGGTGACTAGTGACAGAGTGAGGGAGGGAAGGGGTGACTAGTGACAGAGTGAGGGAGGGAAGGGGTGACTAGTGACAGAGTGAGGGAGGTGGTGATTAGTGACAGAGGGAGGGATGGGGTGACTAGTGACAGTCACCACCTCCTTCACTCTGTCACCCCTTCCTTTCCTTCCCTCACTCTGCCACTAGTCACCCCTTCCCTCACTCTGTCACCCCCTCACTCTAGTGACAGAGTGAGGGAGGGTGTGACTAGTGACAGAGAGGGAGGGGGTGACTAGGGACAGAGGGAGGAGTGACTAGGGACAGAGTGAGGGAGGTGGTGACTAGTGACAGAGAGAGGGAGGGGGTGACTAGTGACAGAGAGAGGGAGGGGGTGACTAGTGACAGAGTGAGGGAGGGGGTGACTAGTGACAGAGTGAGGGAGGGAAGGGGTGACTAGTGACAGAGTGAGGGAGGTTGTGATTAGTGACAGAGGGAGGGATAGGGTGACTAGTGACAGTCACCACCTCCTTCACTCTGTCACTTGTCACCGCCTCCCTCACTCTGTCATTGTGTCACCGCCTCCCTCACTGTCATTGTGTCACCCCCTCCCTCACTCTGTCACTAGTCACCCCCTCCCTCACTCTGTCACTAGTTACCCCCTCCCTCTCTCTGTCACTAGTCCCATCCTCCCTCACTCTGTCACTAAAGTGAGGGGGTGACTAGTGACAGAGTGAGAGCGTGACAGGTGACAGAGGGAGGGGATGACTGGTGACCGAGTGAGGGAGGGGGTGACTAGTGACAGAGTAAGGGACGGAGGGGGTGACTAGTGACAGAAGGAGGGAAGGAGTAGTGACAGAGGGAGGTGGTGACTAGTGACAGAGTGAGGGAGGTGGTGACTAGTGACAGTCACCACCTCCCTCACTCTGTCACTAGTCACCCCTTCCTTCCCTCACTCTGCCACTAGTCACCCCCTCACTCTAGTGACAGAGTGAGGGAGGGTGTGTCTAGTGACAGAGTTAGGGAGGGAAGGGGTGACTAGTGACAGTGAGGAAGGGGGTGACTAGGGACAGAGTGAGGGAGGTGGTGACTAGTGACAGTCACCACCTCCCTCACTCTGTCACTCCCTCCCTCTGTCACTAGTCACCCACTCCCTCCCTCCCTCTGTCACCAGTCATCCCCTCACTCTGTCACTAGTAACCCCTTCCTTCCCTCACTCTGTCACTAGTAACCCCTTCCTTCCCTCACTCTGTCACTAGTAACCCCTTCCTTCCCTCACTCTGCCACTAGTCACCCTTTCCCTCACTCTGTCACCCCCTCACTCTGTCACTAGTCACCCCCTCACTCTAGTGACAGAGTGAGGGGGTGACTAGTGACAGAGTGAGGGAGGGTGTGACTAGTGACAGAGAGGAAGGGTGTGACTAGTGACAGTGAGGAAGGGTGTGACTAGTGACAGTGAGGAAGGGTGTGACTAGTGACAGAGTGAGAGAGGGTGTGACTAGTGACAGAGAGAGGGTGGGGGTGACTAGTGACAGAGAGAGGGAAGGGGTGACTAGTGACAGAGTGAGGGAGGGAAGGGGTGACTAGTGACAGAGTGAGGGAGGTGGTGATTAGTGACAGAGGGAGGGATGGGGTGACTAGTGACAGAGTGAGGGAGGGAAGGGGTGACTAGTGACAGAGTGAGGGAGGTGGTGATTAGTGACAGAGGGAGGGATGGGGTGACTAGTGACAGTCACCACCTCCTTCACTCTGTCACTAGTCACCCCCTCCCTCACTCTGTCACTGTGTCACCCCCTTCCCCACTGTGTCACCCCCTTCCTCACTCTTTCACTGTGTCAACCCCTTCCTCACTCTCACTAGTCACCCACTCCCTCCCTCACTCTGTCACTAGTCACCCCCTCTCTCACTCTGTCACCAGTCATTCCCTCACTCTGTCACCAGTCACCCCTTCCTTCACAGTGACAGAGTTAGGGAGGGAGAGACTAGTGACAGAGAGAGGGATGGGGTGACTAGTGACAGAGAGAGGTATGGGGTGACAGAGTGAGGAAGGGGGTGACTAGGGACAGAGGGGGTGATTAGTGACAGAGTTAGGGGGTGACTAGTGACAGAGTGACTGAGTGACAGAGGGATGACTAGTGACAGTGACTAGTGACAGTCACCCCCTCCCTCACTCTGTCACTAATCACTACCTCCCTCTGTCACTACACTACCTCCCTCTGTCACTAGTCACTGTCACCAGTCATCCCCTCACTCTGTCACTAGTCACCTCTTCCCTCCCTCACTTTGCCACTAGTCCCTCCCTCCCTCCCTCACTCTGCCACTAGTCACCCATTCCCTAACTCTGTCACTAGTCACCCCCTCTCCATCCCTCTGTCACTAGTCACCCACTCCCTCACTCTGTCACCAGTCACCCCCACTCACTGTGTCTCCCCCTCACTCTGCCACCACTCAACCCCTCCCTCCCTCACTCTGCCACCAGGTACCCCCTCACTCTGCCACCTGTCACAACCTCCCACACTCTTCCACCTGTCACCTTCTCCCTCAAACACTCTGTCACCTGTCACATATGCATTCACACAGACACTATATACAAAAAAGCACATGTAGTCATCCAGACATGCACAAGTGCATTCACACAGACTCAAATACAAACATGCATTGATACACAGGTCTTCGCAATATACACATCCAAAGGAATGCCGTGTTATGAGTTATATTTAACATTTATTTAATGCACTTATATTTGGCCTTCAAAGGGCCTGGGATCTAATTTTGCCCGGGGGCCCCAAAGGCTCTCAGTCCGCCCCTGCACATATCCCATAAGCGGGGATTATACCGCTGTGTGCGCACTACCCTAGAGCTGGACAGAAGCTCTTAAAAATTGTGAGTTCGCTACTTATATTTTACTCCACCTGTACCATACATATTGCACTATCGGTTGTTCTCTCTTTTATCTTTTATATTCAATATTCAAAGACCTTGTTCCTGTACCCAAGGACGACAGAGAGGACACTTTTAGGTTGGACTTTTACCGTTATTTGGACTGTTTTTTTTAAATAACATTCTTTTACTTGGCGCAGCCCTTCTTTTATATTTTGCTTTTACTTTGTATTTTTAGGGTTTTGGGGAGATTCCCTTTTTGGGTTGCTGCCTTATAGGCTGATTGGCGCTGTCTCTTCCTCTTGTTTATTTATCTGTTTTCGCCTTAATTCTCTCCTGAGATAGCTGCCTCTTAACCGTTATTATGTCTATCTTTGAATATAGAAATAAACACACAATTGATGTAAATAATGTATTTAATACAGAAATGAATAGCTCAATTATGACAACTTCCTATAATATAAATCAACAAGATGTATTTATTAAATTAGAAAAAGCCGTATCCACTGAAATTAAGCTAAAATGGGAAATTGCTACTCTCAAAAAATACATAGATGAGCAGATTACCCCTCGTGGTTTAAGACTTTTAAAATTACCTACCTCAGATCAGGATGATCTAGAATTTATGAACGAATGGAACAGCAAACTAGAACTATGCACCTTCGGTTTAATGGAAACATTAATTATTAAAAAAAAGTTAAAAATTATCTTAGATATTGAGATAAATGATCTCAGAGACAAACTCTTATCTTTCACCGAAACAAAAGCATACAAACAAAATTCTATTCTGATCCAAAATAAAAATCGAGAAAGTAGAAGTTGACACAAAACATTTGAAAATCAAGAAATACATTAGAGATAAAACAGATTACTCTAATAAACAAGTTAGAACTTACCATCTCAGAAGAAAATATACATCTGAAAACTATACCTCTAGGAACAATTACCAGGATCAAAGGAATCACACCAATAACTATTCAAACAATAACACACTTCACTATCAATCCACAAAATATCAAAATTACGTTGCACGTAAGTCTCATTACCAATCCCCACTGAGAACCAGATTTTCAACCACTCAACAATATCACGTTCCCTCTAAATTGCCGTATCAAAATAACACTAATACATATCAACATAAACAAAGAAAACCTTCTCACTATAGCTATAGGTCTATACCACAATCCCAAAAGTATCACAACCCTTCTGGTTTTAATCTTTCACCAAAACCACAAAGATCACGATATACCAATGACCACACTGAATACTCCAATTATTCAAAGTCTCCCACTATTTCAAGTCACCCTAACAGATATCAATTATTGTCAGTTGATTCCGACTTCGATAATGAGGACCATTTTTTAGAAATTCGTACCCACCAACCCTCACTAGCTCAGACACCGCACCCATAACGTTCCCAAAAAAGAATTTTAAGCCTAGAGGAAGACGAAGTGGAAGACGGGAAAAAAAGAGAGAGACTAGACAGACCATAAAACCTACTAACAACGTGTGTAGCGGCATTTTTAATCTCTCTCATAAGATTTTATCATCTGACCAACTATCAGTCCTTAACAAAGGTTTAAAATTTGCCCCCACATCCTCTTTTAACTCATTTCAGACGTTTTTAGATGTAAATAAATTTGTTCGAAAGGCGACACTTAAAAGATTTTTTATTGGTAAGAAAGATGAGATTCCAGCCGAAACACCACCACCCGTTATAGACAAAGGTCCTTTTATTAACACACACCTTAAAGAAAAATCTAAGTTTTATCCTTCTTATTGTAAGTCAGCTCCCCTTACTTTATTTGAAAAACTCGTCCAAAAGGATTTTGAAAAAATTAAATATAGTAAATATGATCCTAACAACATCACAATGAAAGAAAGAAGGGCTATCAAAGAACTTCAGATGGACAAAGATATTGTGATTAAACCGGCAGACAAAGGGGGAGGAGTAGTCATCCAATCCAGTAAGATGTATATCGATGAAGCTCTAAGACAATTAAATTATATAAAAGTATATGAAAAACTCTCATCAGATCCAACTAAAAATATACAGGTTATTTTATCTAATTTTCTATCTAAAGGTCTTAACTTAAATATCTTAAATAAACACGAGTTAAAATTTTTAAACAAAGAATTTCCTATCATCCCTGTAATTTATTTTCTCCCAAAAATTCATAAAGATGAACACAAACCACCAGGTAGACCCATTGTCTCGGGGATAGGATCTATTTTATGCAACCTCTCACAATATATTGATACTCTCCTCCAGCCCTCCGTAAGACTTATGCAATCTTACCTTAAAGACTCTATGTCACTTTTAAATTTTTTACATAATTTTACTTGGAAGTCTAACTTCATTTTAGTTACTTGTGATGTACAATCTCTTTATACCATCATCCCCCATGATATAGGTTGCCAAGCTGTAAAAAAGATTTTAACCCGTGAAGCGAAAATTCCGGCTATTCAAATTGATTTTATAATAGAAGGTATCAATATAATCCTTAAAAATAATTATTTTTGGTTCTTAGATTCGTTTTATTTACAAAAGAGAGGTACAGCTATGGGGACTAGGTTTGCCCCTAGTTACGCTAATTTGTTCATGGCTGATTGGGAAACCCATGCGATTTGGGGCAATCACATATGACGGGCAAACCTACTCACATATTTTAGATATATAGATGACCTTTTTTTAATTTGGGAGGGCACCGAACAAAACCTTATTGCTTTTATCGATAATTTGAACACCACCACCAGTGGTATTATTTTAACTCACGAATTCAGTAGGGAATCTATAAATTTTTTAGATCTAAATATTTATATAAAGGATAGACAACTTCAAACTAAAACGTTTTTTAAAAAGGTCTGTGTGAATACAGTTATAGATAAATCAAGTTGCCATTATAAGCCATGGCTCGAAAGTGCACCCAAGAGTCAATTCCTACGTCTCCGTAGGAATTGCTCAGAATTGACTGACTTTGACGAACAAGCAGAGGTATTAAAAAATAATTTTATTGAAAAAAACTATTTAGAGCCAGATCTTAACGAAACAATTAATGCAATAAAGTCAAAGGAGCGTAAAGACCTTTTAATCTACAAAAACAAAGAAAATACCGAACCGATGTCCCTTCCTGTCATTTTTAATTTTAATAAAAAAGTAATATTATTAAAAGATCATTAATAAGTATTGGCATATTCTGAAACACAATGATGTACTTAACTCAATTATACCTGATCACCCAAATATTGTTTTTAGAGGAGCTCCTAATTTTAAATCCATTTTAACTTCTAATTTTACTAAAACACCTACTACAAATAAAATTTCCTTTTTCCCTCAAAGTAAAGGTTTTTATAAATGTAAGAACTGCATAGTTTGTAAAACTACAAACCCCTCTAACCCATCAAAAACAACTCAATTTATGTCAAACCAAACTAAAAAAGTGTATAATATTTATGATTTTATTAGCTGCAATTCAAAAAACGTCATTTATCTGCTCTAATGCCCCTGTGGCCTCCAATATGTGGGGATGACCACAAGGTGTTTAAAGACCCGACTGAGCGAACATTGCAGAAATATTAAAAATGGATACTTAAATCATACAGTATCCAAACAATAAAGACCCTCATTTGCTTAGATGTATTGGTATAAAAAAAATGTTCTACCCCATGGCGTGGGGGTGATATCAAAAAGATATTAGGACAGACAGAAATGGAATGGGTGTATAATCTTCAGACCCTTATACCCCATGGCCTTAACGCAGATTTTGATTTACATAATTTTTTATAATTAATTAATATCTGTCACTTTTATCTTTTTTATTTTATTTTCTCTACATACTATGTGCTTTTACTTGTAAGGCTAATTGAGTGGTTTTTTATTAAAAACATTACTTATGTTTATATTTTTTTAATTTCACATTCAACTTTTTCATCCTTTTTTTTTTTCATCTTTATTTTTATAGTATTTTATCCATTTTATTGTTTTTACCTAATTATTTCGTTTTTTTTAGCTCATTGGACTATTT